GGAAAACGCAATATTAGAGCATTTAGCAAATTTTTAAATGCATATGGTATTACTGCCAAAAGATTGAGAAAAATAGGAAGTAAACATGCTTCTAGAGTTCATGGTAGTCAAAATCCAACGGCCCAACATCTTAGTTTACTTTGTAGGATTGCAATGAGGCATAAGATCGACCGTTTTGATTCTGGAACATATTATGCTGAGGGTGACACTTCTTCTGATTCCGATACCAATCCTGATACTGAACCCGAACCTAAATCCCAGCCTAAGAATAATAATCCTTTTGATGCCCAAATCGCAGAAATAGATTCTATGTTAGCAGAAATGCGAAGTTAGACTATGTGCCTAAGGCACTAGCTCCGCTATTAGTATCGGTTCCAGTGGAATTCCCAAATAAAACTCTTACATTGCTTGATGGAACTAGTTATGAGGTTAAGTGTAATTGAGAATATCAGGAAAATCCATAGATATGCCTAAAATTAATTATCCGAACATTAGCTGTTTTTTCCGATTAAAGATATAGAATATATATTCTTGAGAATGGCGCAACTATTGCAGAGCGATGACCCAAAGAGTCTAAATATTTTTAATTTACCAGAGTTACTTGAAAACATATTCAGTTTCTTAGCTGAGAATAAAGCACTCTATCCTACTTTATTCGTCAACCACCTTTGGTATCACTGCGGTGCTCCTATTCTATGGCGAGATATTGATTTTTTCATAGATTGTCAAGGAAACACATATAATAACAATTCATCTGGAGATCTTTATTGGCGATTATTGAAGTTTAAAAGAGTTATGTGTGGAAAGATAAAGCCACTCTATTGTTCAAAGATGGTATATCTTAGTTTGGAAGGTTTAAAAATCTCGGATGCTTTGATCAGTGCAATTCTGCATTCATGCCCAGATATACGTTTTCTTATTCTTAATCGAAGTTATGGTTTTACTAATATACCAATTATAGAAATTGCAAAATTTTGTCCGAAATTAATACACTTAAGTCTTAATTCATGTATATGTCTCACTAATCGATGTATCACTGAAATTACTCGCTCGTGCCAAAAACTTAGACATCTTGAGCTTGGTGATTGCTCGATTAATAATAAAGCTGTCGAGGAAATAGCCCGCAATTGTACTAATTTGAAATATCTTAGTTTGAAGGGATGTAAAGGGGTTAGCGAAGAAGTGATGAAAAAACTTAATTCTAAAATTAAAATCGAATACCCTAATTATTCAGATGGAAAATGGTCCGATTCTGATCTACCTCTACCTATTCCAATGTTTACCGATACATTATTAGATGAAATAGATTTCATTTCCACATTCAGTAATTGTATCAGAGATATTGGCGGGATTAATCTTAATCATTCATGGTTTACCAATAATTTTATGTAGTAGCAGAGAATGGGTAATTATTTACCGAGTTATTTTTTCAGTTATAATATATATCATTAAATAATATTTGACATGGTTTTCATAAAAACAATCGTAGAGGGGAAAATCCCAGTAAAAGCGTTAATCGATACAACATCTAAATCCAATACTATTAGCAATCGCTTGTATAATAAGCTTGAAGAAGATTATGGATTAGAAGGTATATCCGGTGATGATTTGATAGGCAAAGAAATAAAATGCTTAGATTTGCAATTTCGGTATAAAGGAAAGTGGCGAAGCTTAGATGGTACCGAAGTAATAGATTTTCAAATTCGCAAAAATCCATCATTTGATTTGGTGCTAGGACGGGATTGGTTATGGATGCGCGAAGCAAAAATTAGCTTTGGATTTTCTCTGGAAAATTGTACGCGCTATGCTAAAATTGAGATAGATGGTATGAGTATCCCATTAATCGAAGAAGATAGCAGGCCCACAGGCGACTCTTCGACTCATAAAACCAGCTCTACTAAAAATAACTCATCTTTTGCAAAGCAATGGGAGTTTGTCCCTAATTCAACAGAGTCTAAACCTGGTCTAGCTCAAGAGGGAGTTATGAATATAATTAACAAAATTCTCTCAAATATCGAAGATAATGTTTCCAAAAATAGCAGTACTAGCAATAAAAATAGGGTCAAATATTCCACGGATTTTGATACTTCTTCCAATTCAGATATTTCAGACTCAAGTGATTCTTCGTTGTCTAGATTGCGATCAGAGGTTGCAAATATGCATAAGACTGCATCTGCAAAGAAACATCCTATTAAGCGAAGATGTTGCAAAGTAAAAAGAAAATCTAATCAATTATAACAACTGGTGCGAGTGGAAGGTCTTTGAATCTTTTTTCAATATGAGCTAGAATTTTTCTTGATCTGCTATTAATTCTCGAAAAAACTGTTTATCTTCCTCTGTAATTGGAAGACGAATTTCTTCAGGATTGAAACCTATATGTTTGTTATAATAAAATAATATATTAATTGCAGAAAAGCTAAATTAAAATCACGTGTGCCGATCACTTTGCTAGAAAAAAAAATTGAATGTATCTAGTACTTTAATATAATACGTCATTATACATAGGATATTAATATGTCCCGCAAATCTAGAAATAACAGGCGTAAAACTCAAGGTAAATTTACCACAAATCCTACTCAGTATATACAATTTCAAAACCGGAATAAATATATGCACGTTATGAAAGGAGAACATATAATTATCATAAATAGAAATACTCAAGATACGAAGCGGTATTCAATTATGAAGAGGTATGTAGATATCTAGAGATAAATAGTATTGATTTGGATATTAAAAATATGTATAGGAAATAATTGGATTCCATATTCGATAATGTGAGGATCATAGAGTCTCTGACTCATATTTTTTATTTGTAATACATTAATAAGGTGAATTTTCAGGTGTCATAGTAGTTGTTCGACCTTCTTCTTCACTAAAATCGCTATCCCCTTCTTCAGAATGATGTGTAATCTTAAATAAAGTACATGCGATTGCGGTCTGAAAGGAATAATAATTTTATTTTTTTTTTACCGTTACATACTCATAAAGAAAAAAAGACCTACCCTAAAAGTTAGCAACGTGTGGATAAGCGAGTAAACACCACTTGGCGATGTTATATGCAAAGGGATTGATGCTCGTTCAATCAGACAATACTCAAGGATACCCGAATCCTTACGCATAGCATAAAGTTCCATCACATCACCTATAAAATTTGTCTACTGATGTATTATCAAAAGACTCGATTTCTGAATGGGAATTTTAAATCATATACCTGCAATATTGATTGTAAAAATACTCAACAAGTGCCTTATAGATGGCTGGTTGAATACCCTTTTAAGTTTGGACTCTTTTTTTGTAGTATCAACAGAATCCTTTGAGAAACGTATTAATTTTTTGTGGTCTCGCCGACGCTTAAGTTGAGTAGAATTAGGGCGACCAGTTTCAAGGTATACAATCTCTAATTCTGCATTACTCCTCAACTGCGCAACGACCATGTAATCAGCTCTTCGTGCAATTTTTCGGGATCCCTTTCGTAATGCACTAGCTGAACTTACCTCCTCGCCCCTTATTTCAAGAAAAAAAAACATTAACAATATTACCCACCAACCATTGAAAAGCGACATTTCAGGCTTACCATAAACCCCAAGCAATCGGATTTCCTGGTAAATCGCACATTACAATATTCAATAGCGGTCCAATTACCTCACATACATAAGAACCCTCATTTATCTGTGGTTTTCCATTTGCAATAAATGATCCATACTTTGGCGATCTCCAAATTCTACCCCTATAAGAAGTACTGTTAATTGATTTCTGATAATCATAGATTACTTTCTACGAAAAAAAAATAATAGACTAACAATGCTTCCAATATTTGTCTCGTTATTTCTTGTAGTTTTTTGGTCGATCCAACCATTTCCCATATTCAACATTGCTTAAATTCTCAAACTCACCTGAACTATTCTTCGTTTCTTCGTCCTGAATATACTTCTCACACATGTCCTTTATCATTCCATTTTGGTTTAATCTATATTTTTGAAATGGCTCCCGAAAAACATCGCAAAACGACTGAGGCATATTTGTGAATGGCTCCGATGTAATATCAAGTACTCCCGAACATAACGGATGATCATATTCAAGGTTTTCCGCCTTTACGTTCTGGAGTTCTGTTTCAATTCTCCCCCACATAGCCTTTTCACGACCGGCTCTCTCTTTTTTACACTGTCCAATATCACATTTCAGGGAACGTATATTTTCATTTGCTTCTTCATACCAATCCACCACATCGATTGCTAGAGCATTCACCTCCATAAGGGAACATAAATCGTCAAAAGCACCTCCAACCCAAAGTATGGTTAAAACTAGTTACTAAACGTTGTAAATAATAAAATTCACTAAATAAAATTGCGCGGATCAGATTAGGTTTCCGTTTTCATATAAGCCATCAAAGTACCAGAAGAAAGTTTAACTATAATGAAAGTAGTCCAAGGTGTAAGTGTGTACAACTAGCTACTGCCATGCGGGAAGTAGTATTACTACCACAACGGACATTAGCCCATTCACTAGAATGTATACTACCATTGCACTTCAATCAGTATAGTCCATTTCAGGAAACCTAAAAATAACGACTCATCATATCCGCCAACGTGTTAAAGATCTTAACTTACTCGCTGTTTCAAACTCTCGCCAGATCCAAAACTTCGAAGTCTCTCTAAACGTTCATTATCGAAATTAGGAACCTTTCTCAATGCATTTTCTGATATTGATATGAATTTTTGTATCATTCGTTCACGATCACCAGTCCATCCATCCGACTCCACACATTTATATAAGGCAGATACAACTGTAATGGCCGATACTGGGACGAAATTTAATAAAAAGTTTTCCATGACTTAAGAATTCGAATAAAAATATAGTTTTTTATGTTAAAAAAATGTTAGATATCGAAATACAAAACCGTTAATAAGCAATTAACGTAAATAGATTCGATATACTGTCCTTTTAAAACGTTTTCGTTCATCTCTTTCTACGTCTTCTTTCAGTTCTACAGAATGAGTATAATGCAGATGAATAAAGAATGTTTTTACGCCAAAAATTTCCCACACAAAGAAAATGAATGTACATGAGGTAATTAATCAAATTTGGTAAATCGCACAAACATGTATGCAATATGATCATGTATCACACATATTGAAATTCTAAAAATAATTTTCATTACATAGCCACATTATATTCGTACAACATATTGATTATCTGATTGATTGATTATGCAGAGGGATGATCAAAATTTAATTCCCTTCTTTACAATTAGAAAAATATGAAAAAGACACTCAACTATTCATACCCACATTTAAGAGCGGAGCTCATACCAAGGCATAGAAAGATCCCGTAAAATATATGTATGAACTTCCTTTTAATTTTCACGAAGAAGTTACGGTCAGGGAATTTATTGGAGGTAAGTATACACTTATATACTTGAAAAAGTGGATCGCAGAAGATCAGGGCCATGGATTAAATGAAAGACTTAAAGCGCATACAACAGGTACATAAGTGCCATGATTCATAGAAGAGACAGAGTCTCGAATCTTCGATTCATCGCCCAATGGCCTGCTCTGCAATAAAAATAATGTGACTTTTTTCGTTTATGGCGATGTGATGATAATATTCAAAGTGGATGTATCAAAGAAGTCAGACGCATCAGATATCGGTATGGATATTCTTACTAAAAATGCAAATCAACAAAAGTTTTTTTTATAAATCTTTATTATTTTTGCATAAATAGGTGTGAACCGAAGTTCACAGTGGCGCAGTAAGACATATTTCTCAACCCCTAAACGAGATTTCGATTCGCTTTCAAAGTTTTTGCTATTATATAATCAATATCATCCAGACTTAATTTCGAAATAGCTGATGCGGAAAAAGATCGAACTCGCCCTATCAACTCCACACCAACACTATTAAAAAGTTTATAAATTTTCCTAGCCTTTTCCTTTCTTTTTCGAAGATTGACCTCCGTAATTTTATCAACAGTCTGTTCCCTAATTTTATCATTAACGAGGGCATTGGATGCATCCTCATTATTAGATTGTCGATAATGATCAAACCATATTGTTAGGCCTTTCCCGAAATTG